GATTTTGTCGTTTTTCTTCAATAAAACACTGCAATAAACTAAACTCTCCAATATAGCAGTGATTTTATTTGTTTCTCTTCAATATAACACTGAAATAAAGTTAATATACTAAACACTCTAATGTAACACTTATATAATCATTGCCCCCGTCCCCACACTTAATGATAAACTATACTGTGTAATATTTCGTTGTATTTATTATGAATTTATATGAATACAGGTACACTATGAATACAGTAATTATGAATACAGGAACACTTAACTTAGGGTGTGTGAAGGTAATGTGAGAATGAATAATACAAAGAGAAACGGTGTGTTGTGGGTCATACAAACACCTTGTCTTAGTTGCTGTAGTACTGTACCTTGTTCTTACTAGTGAAGGTTACAGCACTGTATTCTTTATCTTAGGTGGTGTACACGGTGTATGTTAGTTGGTGTACACGGTGTATGTTAGTTGGCGTACACGGTGCATGTTAGTTGGTGTACACGGTGTATGTTAGTTGGTGTACACGGTGTTCTATTATAGTTGGTGTACACGGTGTATGTTAGTTGGTGTACACGGTGTTCTATTATAGTTGGTGTACACGGTGTATGTTAGTTGGTGTACACGGTGTATGTTAGTTGGTGTACACCGTGTTCTATTATAGTTGGTGTACACGGTGTAGACTCAAACCATCGCTTTTACACTTTCAACTACGTCTCGTGGTTACTCTACTATAAAGGTTTTTCGTTGGATCGAGAAATTGGGTCACGTGGTTAGGTTAGGGTTGATTCAGGTGGTTGGGTGAAATGCGTATTTTGCTTAGGTTAGGTCAGGTCAGGTCTTTAAATTCGTATTTTTGGTTAAGTAAATAAACAAGTAAACATCCAGGGTCACTTAACATTTAACTTACAAACATTTAACTAAATTTTACCAACTTACAAATATACCTTAGCTGTATAAGTACAAATATAACATTGTAAGTAAATAATTTGACACTTATAAACACACAAATGTAAGTTACTGAAGTGTTTTGTTGTTTTAAAATAATTGCAAAAAAATGGACTTGTTTGCCGTGTCCGCTGCTCGTTAGTCTAATGTGAGAACTGTGTGTGTGTGTGTGTGTGTGTGTGTGTGTGTGTGTGTGTGTGTGTGAAATGTTTTATCGTCCGGTTTATTGTTGGTTTAGATAAAGTGTTTTAATGTTAGAGTGACGTTTTAACAACTTGAGAAATTATTTTATTATTGTTTATTATTATTATTATTATTATTATTCATCTTACTATATTTATTCCATCTCTCTTATATTATCCATTTTATCCATCATATATCACAATTATGTATCAGCTGTTGTCCTTACCACACAACACACACACACGTCTGCCATTAGGTTACCTTGAACTAAGCAATGCAGTTTCATCCTGTTTTACAATCTTAAAAGAGGGTAATGGTGTGGATGGTTGGGTGATGTGGATGTGGTGTGGATGGTTGGAGGGTGTGGATAGATGGTCGGGTGGTGTGGTATTACAGACGGGGTACTTGTGGATGGATGGTCGGGTGATGTGGAAGTGGTGTGGATAGTTGGAGGGTGTGGATATGGTATTACAGGCGGGGTACTTGTGTAGGAATGGCCGGATGAAGTGGGTTATGTGGATATTCAGAATAAAGCGGATGTGGTGTGGATTGCTCGATAAATACATTAACTTATATACACAAATTTACGTAGACTCAATAATAATTAATTAGAAATAATATAATATTTTTGCATCACTAATATAGATTGACAAACATTCAATAAAAATAAGTTGATAAAATAATTAGTGTATTATTATTTTACAAATACACTTAATAAAGATAATAAGATAATTTGTTGGTAATAAAGAAATAGTTGAATGTTGAGGTAAATTTATGTAAGGATGTTTTGATGACAAGGGTAAATGTTTTTGTTGACCTTAAATGGCGGAGGTAATGTTTATGCTAATATCTCAATACGTATCGTGAATTTATAAACATTACTCTGGCGTTCGGGGAATGTTTATATTATTAATACTAGTTTCTGTTTACATCCATATATATTATTTGTCTTTTAATTGGTTGTTTGTTACATAACACTGGTGAGTCATTGGCATCAAATATTGTGAATTTATCTTTAATGTAACTCGTATTTAGTTTATTATGTAGAGGTTATTGTAGAAACTGGCTTATGAATATAGGCATCGTAGATAGTGGCGATATAGTACATTATATATTAAGCCTACAGTATACAATATAACTTATAATAAAACTATGTTGCACTTAATACACATATAGGACTGAGATAATATATACTGTACACACACACACACACACACACACACACACACACGTTACAAAAAGAAAACCTCAATGGGATTTAAATTTTTATGACGGAAAATTTTTTTTTTTTTTGTCCCTGGCTGTTAAGTACCGTTTAGTGGGTGCGGTGGTGGTGTGGATATTTATACCCGCTTGTCGTCCGCAAAGATCGTTGATTCGCACCCCGGGGCAACCACTAGCTGTAAATAGGAGTTACTAGTTTTACAGTTTAGGAAATGAAGGATGTCGAGTGTAGTGTTGGGTCGTGGTGTGCTGCTGTCTCTCCATACCTACTGAAGATTAGTTGGAGTGGGTTAGGGTGGGTTAGGTAGGTAGGTGAGGGTGGGTTAGGTAGGTAGGTAAGTGAGGGTGGGTTAGGTAGGTAGGTGAGGGTGGGTTAGGTAGGTAGGTGAGGGTGGGTTAGGTTAGGTTAGGCTACAACAGAGATAAAACACGTTAAAACATCGTGTTTGTCGTCCGCCGTTATGTCATATTTTTTGCTGAATGACCGCGATGGTTGAGGTGTGTGTGTGTGTGTGTGTGTGTGTGTGTGTGTGTGTGTGTGGTTGGTTCCTCCTTACCTGAGCTTGGAAGACTCGCCTTATTTGCGTTATTAATTAAGAAACAGGAACAGGTATAGATGGCGTTTGACGCTTATAGATGGGTGTTACCCTTATGACGTCACATTACATCATCAAGACGTCACGTTACATCACGACGTCACATTACATCATCAAGTCGTCACGTTACATCACGACGTCACATTACATCATCAAGTCGTCACGTTACATCACGACGTCACGTTACATCATCAAGACGTCACGTTACATCATCAAGACGTCATGATCCACAAACTTCCTCCACTCATTTGTTTACGCTTGAAGCTGTTTCCATCTTACTGACGTTAATAAATAAGGACAAGTATTTGAATTATGGTGGTATTTTAGGGAGAGGTGAGAGAAGAGGGAGGAGAGACGGGGGGGTGGAGAGAGAGATAGAGGGGTGGGAGAGAGAGAGAGAGACAAACAGGGGGGGTAATCCGGAAATATAGTACCTTTTTAATAATGTTTTCTACTAAATGTTGTTGTGTTGCTTATGTTTTTATTTTTATTTTTGGGGGTTTGGTTTGTTTTTGTCCTTCAGAACTTTGCTGTTAGGTAAATATTGTTCCCTATTTCCTGTTTACGTTATTGTGTTATATCTCTCAGTGTGTGTGTGTGTGTGTGTGTGTGTGTGTGTGTGTGTGTGTGTGTGTGTGCGTGTGCGTGCGTGTGTGTGTGTGCGCGTGTGTGTGTGTGTGTGTGTGTGTGTGTGTGTGTGTGCGCGTGCGTGTGTGTGTGTGTGTGTGTACAGATGGTTGGGGGTGGTCTACATAGACACCTACCAGCAGACGTAAGTACGGTATGTGATGATAATGGGGTGCAACTGTATCGTGTAGGGGGAGGGGTGAGGGCGGGAGGGGGGCGTATGAGGTGGGGGTGAGGGTCGAACCCGGTAAGTCCGTCCATGATCCCGTTCCTCCCTGAGACTGTGTGTGTGTGTGTGTGTGTGTGTGTGGGACGACCATGAAGATACACACATATTCTCTCTCTCTCACACACATTGTCAAGGGGTGAGGGTCAACACCCCCCCACTGCCAGACGCGTGACATATTATTCAACCCAAACTATCGTACAGTGATAAGTGCCACCTCTTGAGTCTACCTGTAGTTAAGCAGAGCAACACAATAACCTAACGTAACCAGATATTACATTATGTATTATATAATTTCACAGTAATGGTACACAAATAAACACAATTTAGTCACTGTTAAAAATAAAGATAAGAATTTTAATGAACATAAAACGGAAGAAAAACGCTATTCCGGGTTATGTAAATTAAAGTCGTACATCAAGTTTTCGTTTTATGGTTTGTAAAAAAAGAAAGAAAGCTTCGTGTTTGTTTTACAGGAATAGAAACTGTAAATAGAGTCTTAAATTATGCGTCAGGGTTTCTTTTCCTTCTTAGCTTGCGGCGGTTAGGTTAGGTTAGTTTAGGTCAGGTCAGGTCAGCTTGAGGCCAGGACACTGTAAACACAAACATTGAGGAATAGAATGTTAAATATGTTAGTGTTTGTTAAAATTAGTAGATAAATCAAAGGGAAGAAAATATATGACTTTATAGACACAGGAGAAGAAGGAGGAGGAGGAGGAGGAGAAGAAGGGAGGAGGAGGAGGAGAAGAAGAAGGAGGAGGGGGAGAAGGAGAAGAAGGAGGGAGGAGGAGGAGAAGAAGGAGGGAGGAGGAGGAGGATGGGAAGGAGGAAATGACTGTATATAACTGTAGCGGTGGGCGAGTGAACGGTATGCTCAAACTTGCATATAGGGTAACAGTGACCGCACGGCGAGGTATATTCTGTCAGTATACTCCGCTATATGAGACAGGTATGTGTATATCTTGTCAGTGTATACCGCTACCTTAACTTGTAATGATGGGTGTGTGACTGATTATTATGGTAGGTGTGTTATTGGCCGTTACTGAGAAAGGTATGTTCATAGCAGGTGTGTAGGTTTGTTAATTGATGTTATTGACTTTGTTACTGATGCAGGTGTGTATTGGTGTTAATTGTTCTGTTGATTATGTTATTGATGCAGGTGTGTAGTATTGTTTTATTAACTGTGTTACTGACAGAGTTTTGTTGTTTACAGGTGTGTAGAGTGTGGGGCGGGTCGGGGTCGGGGTTGTGTTGGGCCTCGTCAGCCGCCACGGTGGAGTCACGCGGCGGGAACTCCGGCGGCGTGTCGGGGGCCCTGCCGCCACAGCAGCCCCTCTCCAACAACCCCCCCCCCCCCCCCCGCCACAACACCCCCCGCCACAACCGCCACAACAACCCCACCAGCAGCAGCAGCCACAGCCTCACCAACAACAACAACCTCAACCAGCGCAGCCGCAACCAGCCATTGCAGCTGCCGCACTCCCAGCTGCTGCGAACAACGGGCAGCCGCAGCACGGCCAGGCACAGCCACAGCCAGCACCTAACGCTGCCAACGCCCACCCACCTCATCTTCCACAGCAACAACAACAGCAGCAACAACAGCAGCATCAACAGCAGCAGCAGGCGGCAGCGGCAGTAGCGGTTGTAGCGGCAGCGGCAGGAGCTGCACAGCCTCACCAAGGACCTCCACCTCTTGCTGCAGCAGCGGCACACGTCGCAGCACCTGCAGCACCTCACGCCGCTGCACAGCAGCACCCAGCCGTGCCTCACCAGGCTCACACCCCCCCTGCCCACCACCCAGCACTGGGTAAGTGTACACACACACACACATACTATAATAATTCTCACTTCATTAATGGATGTCTGGCATTAATTTTTCGTATACATGAGAGCTGACAGGTCCAATAAACTGACCTTAACCTCACCTACACTACCCCAGCTATTAAGGTAATTAAAGTATAATTTAGACTTGTGTTACAAACGGTCACGTGTTGAGTGCCGCTGGTCGTGTTAATGGGGACACATACAGGTGACCTGCCGCCACATAAATGCTTCAGTAACATCAAAAGTATTATAGCTGCAACACGCTGGTTTTATTATACTTAGTGACCTGGTTATAAGTTTTATTTCCTCGCTTCTCAAGTATAATAAAACCAGCAAGTTCTATAATGCCTTTGAAGTTATTGAGTCTTATAATGAGGTCATGTCATTACTAGGTCACCATGTACAGTATTATTTCAAGGGATTGTTTAAGGCTAATAATGGTAAGTTTAATTATATTAGTCTTTAGATAATTAATAATGATACTTTGAATGAAAAAGAATTTGTACTAATCTACTACTACAGATTATTATTTTTTTTTATTAAATTATATCATTCTCTTTACAATATAGACTAATTAATGAACAACCAGGTGTGTTATGATGCTCTAAACGCTCCCCCCCCCCCAGATGTTTATTTACTGTCAGTCATAACCATAGTGTGACCCACCTTGACCATAGTGTGACCCTGTTATAACGTGTGTTGTGTTTACAGTGGGTCACGCTCACTCAGTACACGGAGGAGGCGGAGGAGGTGGTGGTCACGTGTCGTCAGGAGGCGTCAGCATGTCCGTATCTCGGGTACCGTCGCCCCTGCCACCGGAGAATAATATGCCAGTCGCCGAGAACTGGTGCTATACTCAGGTAGGTTTGTGTCCAGGTGTAGTGGAGGTGGTGTGTGGGTCACTACTCTCTCTCTCTCTCTCTCTCTCTTTAACTCTCATTTTTCTCTTTCACTACTTCCTGTTATTACCTCCTCCCTCCCTCCCTCCCCCCTGCATAATCCCTTCCTCCCTCCTCCTTTTTCTTTCCTCTTTCTCCCTCCCTCCTAGGATCCTTCACCACCTGACCCACACTACCTTCTTCCCTCCCTCTCTTTCTCCTTTTCTCTCCCTATCCTCTCCCTCTCTCTCTATCACTCCTCTCCCTCTCTCTATCACTCCTCTCTCTCTCTATCACTCCTCCCTCTCTCTATCACTCCTCTCCCTCTCTCTCTATGACTCCTCTCCCTCTCTCTCTCTATGACTCCTCTCCCTCTCTCTCTCTATCACTCCTTCCTTCCTTCCTCAGCACCATCTGAGGGTGTCTGTGAGTGTGTAGATTCGGGAGACTGAGAAGGCCCGTTGCCATGGGGACAGGTGGTGTTCGACCATCTGAGTTAGCCATCTGGCCCGGAATCACCACCTGTCACCACCACCTACCACCACCACCACTACTATCACCACCACCCTCTCCAACACCACCACCTCCATCATCCACCACCACTACTATCACCACCACCACTACTATCACCACCACCCTCTCCAACACCACCACCACTACTATCACCACCACCCTCTCCAACACCACCACCTCCATCATCCACCACCACTACTATCACCACCACCCTCTCCAACACCACCACCTCCATCATCCACCACCACTACTATCACCACCACCCTCTCCAACACCACCTTCTCCACCACCACCAGGGAAGGAGATACAATGCACCTTAATATTATAGAAATTAACCATAAAACAATGTAAACAAAAGTCTATAAAATGTAACAATGTAAGAAAAAAGCGTAAAAAATGTGTTAGTTGGGATAATTTACATAATTTACAACCTGACCAACGGACGAGTGTTTAGAGGTTAATAGCACCTTTTTTTACATAGTGATTGAAGGGTAAGTAAACAGTGGAGAGTTAATCTCATTTACATATTTTACTATTAACAAACGAGGGATTAATCGGTTCTTTTTAACATTGTGATTCAAGGTTAGAATTAACATGTGGAGTAGGTGTCATTTACATATTGTTTTACACAGGTATTAAATGTAAATGAAATAGATTATCATAAGGGGTTAATTTTATTTACATATAATACCTGTAAATGTCACACAGGTAAGACATAAAATTATTAACACATAATGTTAAAAGGGAATGTTAAGGAAATTTTATGAACTATGAGATAAGATTTGAGAAGCACTGAATCAATGTTAACTACAGTTGATTATATATTAATTTTCATGGATTAGTTTAGCTGGAAGAAAAGATTAATTATGGTCATTGGTAATATATTTTCAGTGATAATTAATGGAAGTTCAGTAATAACTATTGTAAGTTCAATAATTAATTTTCATTTTTAATTATTTTTTAGTCATAATTTTCAGTTTAATTAATTTTAAATTTTAATTAATATTAAGTTGTAATTAATTTTAAGTTACAATTAATTGTTCCTTTATAATTAATTTTAAGTTATAATTAATTTTAAGTTATATTTAATTACAAACTGATTAATTACATTTTCCTGATGTTCCTGTACAGGTGAAAGTGATTAAGTTCAGTTATATGTGGACCATTAATAACTTTAGCTTCTGTCGAGAGGAGATGGGTGAAGTACTCAAGTCCTCGACCTTCTCTGCGGGTGCCAACGACAAGCTAAAATGGTGAGTTATAATTCTCTCTCTCTCTCACCAAGCTGTTATTGTTTACATTCTTCTTGTCACCCTCCTTACCCATTGACCACATTGCTGAGAGAATTGGGAGGGAGTTTGTTTTTGCACCGCTGACGAGGTGATTGTTGAAATGGGCCCCAGTCCTAATAGACCCCTAGTCGACATATCAGACCCCAAACTTTATTAATCATTCGCTCGGTTTACACAGTACGTCTCCACACTCGGTATATATGAGTATGCACATCTCTTTGTTTAGTAATATACAGTACAGTATGTCTCCGCGCTTGGTATAACTGTCTCCGCGCTCATTATATGCATTATGTCTCCACGGTAGTCTATGCTTCAGGAGAGTGAGAGAGAGAGAGAGAACACATGTGAAATTTTTTTGAGGACACCAAAACACCTGGTAATGAGTTTAATGAGTCGTTAGGAATGATTAATACTGAAGGCCATACGAGAGAACAAACACCTGTTGTATCTATCTCCCCACCCACCCATCTACCTCATGTGGCACTGAGGCACAGGTAGTCATCATGGCACCAGGGTCAGGAGAAAGGTTGGCACTTGTCTCTCCTCTTGAGGTATTTTTAGTGACGTGTAGAGGTGTAATGCCGAGTTAGATGTTGTTGTTACTTTTGTATTCAATATTGTTTTTGTCTTACTGCTGTTATTATTATTTTTATTTACTACTATTACTATTTCTACTATAACTATTTATTTTTTTATTTTTTTTTATAACGTGGCCTCCACCCTCCCCTAATAGCCACACCTTCGCCGCCGTTTATTACCTTAATATAAAATATCCTAATACATGAGTAGCTATCCTATCCGTGTTGAATTAGTTAAGCCGCAGATCTATGCGGCATTCAGTGACTGTAGCCTCATAGTCAATATCTGCAGCTGTTGTCGTCATTGGGGCAGAAGCTCTCGTTCCCCTGAGGCAGAGCAAAGCCGACCGAAGGAGAGAGAAGTACAGTCGACATCTCATCCAGGCTGTAACATAACTTCTGGGCTGCTGCTTCTGTTCGGAGATCACCTCCGCGAGTCTGGCGTAGAAACATCTTGCACTTGGTCCCATCCTACCAGAGGTTGTGAACACTAGAGGAGTGAAGCTGCCTTGATCAACGTTTTGAATTTTCTCCCCATATGCCCTTATCTTGTCGTTCTCGTTCCTCCTGTGTGCAGCATCGAGAGCTAGGTTACGGTGACATGCGGCCATGGGATAAAAAATTCTGATGTCGAAGAAGGCTCGCTGTCCCCGCGTCCAGAATCCTCGAGCACTGACGTCAATACGGGCTTCGTTAGATGTGTTTGAAGTCCTATGTTGGAAGATCTCACTACTCACTACTTCTATCCCGGTACTACTATTGTTTCTATTACTACAACAACAAGAACAACAACAACAATTATGGTTATTATTGTAGTAAGGTCTCACGGTGTCACAATCTGGTCAATGAATGGAGGATGCCAGTGATGACATCATGGCACCTTGCTCTACGAGGCCACAAATCAAAGTGACCTGCCATCACCACCGTCACTACCACCACCACTATCACCGACACATTCTCTCATTCATTAATTTCTCTCTATTTACACATTCTGGGTGTGATTTAAAGACTGTTAATTGAAGTTTGTTATACATATGGTAGTTATGATAGGTAGTTATATGTGGGATGTTTACCTCGGGAGTCCTGTGGTGGAAGGGAGTTGGTTGTGTGCCAGTGTGTGGGAGGGAAGGAAGGAGAGGGCAGGAGGGAGAGTAGAGGGGAGAGAAAGGGGGGTGATGTGACGTGGATGTAAGGGGAGAGAGTGGGGGAGGAGGTAAGTGGAATTCAGAGTGAGGGGGAAGATGGACGGGTGGAAGGGACTTTGGAGTGAGGGAGGGAGGGTAGGGGGTGGTGTGAGAGGGGAGGTGGGGAGGGTAGAGCTTCAGAAGTGCAGCGAGGGGAAACGGAGGGGTAGAAGAATGGGGTCGAGGGGATTAGGTGAGGGTAGGTTGAAGGGGAGGGAGGGTAGGAAGTAAGAGTGGGGGAGGAGGAGAAGGAATGGTGGAGGGAATAAAAGGAGAGGAGGGAGGGAAGAAAGGAATGGAGAGGAGAGAGGGAGAAAGATAATGTTGGGGTGGGTGAGGAAGGGAGGGAGGAAGAGAAAATGTGCGAGGGGGAGAGAAGAAGGAAGGAAGGAAGGAAGGAAGGAAGGGAGGGAGGGAGGGAGGGAAAGAAAGAAAGAAAGAGGAAAGGGGAGGAGGGACTTACCAAGGTAACTAGAAACTGTTTTTGTTCAAGTATACTGTGAGGAATTAGGTTGAGGAAGGGCGGAGTTATTTAGGTGTGTGTGTGTGCGTGCGCGCGTGTGTGCGCGCATAACATATAGTTAATGCACAAGAAGGAACTACATCATAACAAACACCAATAATAATACGTAGTTAATTATTATTATTATTATTATTATTATTGTTGTTGTATTAAGGTAAACAATGTGATAGTGTAAACAAACCAAGTGTAAACAGTGTCACAGCTCCGTAAGACAGGTCACACGTATGCTTGGTGTTGGTGACAGACGCTCGCTAGTAGGTCACGGCTTATGGTAATCACTGGCATTATGTGGATGGCTGGCTGGCGTCTTGCTGTATTGTACTGTACTGTTATTTCATTCACAAGGACCACACTTCCACTGTCACACGTAAAATGGTTTTGGACATTTACCTCACCGTGAGTTATATAATGGATGGGTGATACTATCTCGTTTTGTGCAAAGGGAAAGGGGGTGGGGAGTGGGTTGATGGGAAGGAGGGAGGGAGTTGATGAGGGGGAGACAAGGGGGAGGGGGGTCGGAAGGAGAGGGAGCATGTGTTTGTTTGAATACCTGCACTGCCTATGTCTTTTATTTTCACTCATCACTCCACCTTTAATCTTTCATTTCCACTCACCACTCCACCTATAAGCCTTTATTTCCACTCACCACTCCACCTATAAGCCTTCATTTCCACTCACCACTCCACCTATAAGTCTTCATTTCCACTCATCACTCCACCTATAAGCCTTCATTTCCACTCACCACTCCACCTATAAGTCTTCATTTCGACTCACCACTCCACCTATAAGCCTTCATTTCCACTCACCACTCCACCTATAAGCCTTCATTTCTCCTTTGGTGTGAGGGGGCAGGTTAGTGGCTGTGTGATTGTGTGTCAAGTGCAGGTGATGAGTGAGCAAGATAATGTACATGTAGCCCCACTCACACTGACTACACACACACACATCTCTGATATATCTCTCAATAAATCTGTATTAATGGTTTATGTAGTAAATGTTTTAGAATCTACAAATGAGGAATATTTTAGGTGAGGAATGTGTATAACTGTAGATAAAGTAAGTGATTCACGCAAAGTAAACCTAACATCCACCTCACAACTGGTGTTAACGTGGATGACACTACACACCTGAACATTTCTCAGATAATCGCTAATAAACCTGTACTACTAATTAATGTCTGTGTTAAAAATAGAACGAGGATTGTGCTAGGTGAGCAGTGTGTTGAGGGGAGGGAGGGACTGTTGGAACCTAGCCAGCACACTGCAGTAGGTTGGTAGACGTATCTTGAACACCATTCACAGTCTTTTACCAGCATGTCTTGTCCCGTATATTAGATGATACAGTGTAACTCTTATTGTGAATATTTACTGGTGAACGATTATCTATTATTAGTTATTTGTATATGACGATTTATATCTGTTTTTACAATTACTGTATTGTATTCGCATTGCATTGTCATTTGTTTGTGGAATTCAGAATATATAGTGTACTGTACCTAGATGTGATATTATTATAAATTGTAAATGTACTTTCCCTCCCTCACTTACAGCTTCATTCAATTCAAGACAAAACTTACAGGATACATAATCTTGATACAGTAGATACAGTACATTAAATAACCGACATTACTCTGTATTTTGTATTTGAAGCGTTACCTAATGACTCGTTCGCTATTTCCAGGTGTTTACGTGTCAACCCCAAGGGCCTCGATGAAGAGAGCAAGGACTACCTCTCCCTGTATCTACTGCTGGTCTCTTCCAACAAGTCAGAAGTTCGGGCTAAGTTTAAGTTCTCCATCCTCAATGCCAAGAGAGAGGAAACGAAAGCCATGGGTAAGTGGATTGAATATTTTTTCTCGTTTAATCTTCATTCCTGGTATGGGCCTCAGGTGAATGGCGTTGTTTTAGGGGAGGATGGGTTATAATGTTGGCTGGGTAGAGGAAGATGCTTTCTTCTGCTATTCATTCATCCATTTACAATTTAATGGCAGGGTCTCTACTCGAAATTTCAATGGGGGTAAAATTTTGAAGAGTCTCCAGTCAAAATTGTTCAGCTAAGTTGAGGCGTGAGTGTTACAAATATTTTTCCGTTATAATTCAAAGGTCAAAATATTTTAGAGAAAAAATAAGAAGTAAAATAGGTAAATTTGTAAGATACTGAGGAATAAGTTAGTAATGGTGATAGGTATTTTCTCTTATTCTTCATACTAAAGTACTAAGTCATGTAGCAAGGTTGTGTTATGTTATGGCAGTTACTGTAGTACAGGTAGTTAGTTAACCCTGCATATATGTGTGTGTGTGTGTGTGTCAGTTGATTAAAGGGGCCATAATATATAACATAATGATTGTTATCATAATGAGAAAAATGCTAATTCAATTCACCTTTGATAATAAATTTTAACCCCCTTAGACAACCCCACAGTGAAGGGGTTAAAGCTCAGATTGAAATGGTCACTTATTAACTTTTCTAACATAGATCTTCCTGTCCATAGAGAGCCAACGAGCATATAGGTTTGTCCAAGGAAAAGACTGGGGCTTCAAGAAGTTCATCAGAAGAGATTTCCTCCTGGACGAAGCCAATGGGTTGTTACCGGACGATAAACTGACCTTGTACTGTGAGGTACGTTGACTCGTGTTTATGTGTACAGTACAGCATGACGGCTGCCTCCCCCTCCATAAGCTTGTCTTCTTTGTCAAGGTTTTCCGTAACAGTGTGTTGATTAGCCCTCTCCCCTCCTCCTGTAGGACATATACTCTCAAGCTTATTTTACCGTAAGATTAACCAACATAATGTAAATCTCTCTCTCTCTGAAAATGTTTAGAAATTGGCAATATCAGAATAAAATGGAAACTTTTCTTGAGACCTTTGATGAGAACATGAAACTTGAATGGTGAAAAAACATATATGGATGTAGTGCATGTGTCTGTAGCTCCAGGAAAACCTTGATTGATCATAATTAACATTCCCAGATATGACAAGATATTAATTGAAAATATCGCCACCGTAGAGCACCAACTTATCTAATTTTTTTCACGTTATCCCAATTACGAACGGTTTGAAATTTGGTTAGTTGTCGAATTTTATCCATTTAGTCGGGTGGAGTGATAATCCAATAGTTGTCTGGTGTCTTTGGAGTTACTTGAGTTTAGTTTAGAAAAAATCCAGTCTGGTTTTCTGGTGGTGAAGATGCCATCAAGTCCTTGGATTAAAAAGAATTATTGGAACACCTGAAGATTAGTCTCTTCAGTTTATTTCTGTTAATGATTAGATACCCTTACATTAAATAGGAAGGGGGTTAGGTTAGGTTAGCATGAGGGTGTTTAATCATGAGGTGAAATAAGCAAGTGGTGGGTTGGTACTAGTAGGTGGAGAGATAGAAGTGATAGACAGTTATGGAAAGTGACATGAGCAGAATAACAATGTAAATCTGTGACCTTTATAATCAAACTTGACCTTTATACTGTTTATTTGTGTTAGAAAGTCACACCAGCCGGTTATGAATACATTACCCCTCGTGGTCCTTCCTGTAGAACTAGAGAAACAAAACAGAAATATGTGGTTAAATGAGATTATTTTATTGTTGCTTTTAACATTCTGTCAATAGAATGTTTTTATGATCAGGGAAGTGATTGTAGCATAGAGAAGACATTCAACTTCATTGTCATTGTCAACATTTTGTGGGGATTTTTGGTAAACTGCCTAAAAGCGGGGTTTGGTAAGAGTGTCTAAATAAGAGACAGATAAAAGATGACTTATGTGTTTTTGATGAGGGACAACTAGGAACCCATAGAAGTTGGTTTGGGACACACCGGGATGTAGTGAGGGAGGGTATGTGATAGACAGGTCGCCCACAAAGCTTCTATGTAGTGTTACCAGACTCCACTGTCTAAAACACCATTGGCTTAACGCAGACTATAACCAAGTTGCTCACTGTTGGTGGTCTACTGTAGCGATAAACTATACGGTATGTGCAGAACATGTAGTAAATCAGGTGGCACAGTTTTTCACAAATACCCTTCTAATTTTTAAGTGAATCATCGAAGTAAGAATCAGCCAAAGAATAGTAAAAGCATAACTAGAATACAGAATGTCTCAAAAAAAAAAAAAGCTACACGACCTTACAGATTTTTGTGACGATTAAGTGATTGTTTATATAGTATTATAACAGCAAGATTGTCCTTACTTGTTGATGTGGGAGGCAACCCCAGAATGTTGTCAAATTCCTCACACACCCGTCAACAAGTTAGGAAAATGTTGTTGGTATAATAAAAGCATTCATAAGATCGGTACAAAAATATGTTAAGGCATTGTGTATTAAATTTTCTTGAGATGTTGTGTATTTGATTAGAGTAAATGAAACAAGTCATGGTAATGGCTCCCTCTGTGCATCCTCCCTGAAGATCCAATGTGCGCAGGTCTCGGTGGTTGCAGACAGCGTTAACATCTCCGGGCAGAGCAACGCCATCCACTTCAAGGTCCCAGACTGCCGCCTCTCCGACGATCTTGGTAGCCTCTTCGAGTCTCAGCGGTTTTCAGACGTGACGCTTTCAGTATCTGGCAGGGAGTTTCAGGCACACAAAGCTATTCTTGCAGGTGAGTTACTGTCAATTGTGTAATAATGATTGTAAATATGGTCCAGTAATGGTGAATGGTTATGAATATGATGCACAGTACATCTTATTGTTAGTGACTTAAGATAGTTTAATTATTACTTGAAAACATTTGGGAATTGATAACTTAGCATTTACCATTTTGAGTAACTTTAATACGAAGATTGGGCAGAACAAACAGAAGTATTGAGAATTTATAGAATAATAAAAATTAGATACTTTGACTGTAAAATTCGGGAAGAGGAGATAATTTTAGGGATATGAATGAGTAAAATTAAGGGAAGGAGGGCCAGCGGTAGGTAGAGATTTGGATGGATGGATCAAATTAAAAGCTGTGGTTACCCAAGCGATACAATAACATGGTGGGATTCGTAAAGACAATCCACAAATATCTACAATGGAAGGCAAGTAGACGCCAGCACTCGGACTGTAGGATCGCACCTTGATTGATTAATACATACTGTAACAACGATAATAAGTACGCTGCATGTTATTTTAAGTTAGTTTTTAAGGCATAACAGCCCAGTCACTGTAAGAGTCTCTAGTTTGATCTCCTGACTGACTATAGGTTCAGCAAGTTTTAGTTCAGGGCGGCATGTTAAGACATAGTACAAGACTTATCTTATCTGTGGTGATGAGTGAACTAAAGAGGAAGTGGAAGGTGACTCAGCTTGATAACTCTGACCTAAAGATCTCAATTTAGTTTGGATGTTCTGTTGTGGGTACAGTGTTATTACAGAAGGTAACCCGGGTCAGTACAGGGTTAGTACAGGAGGCAACCCGGGTCAGTACAGGACAGTGTTATTACAGAAGGCAACCCAGGTCAGTACGGTGTTATTACAGGAGGCAACACCGTGATGTAATTCTTGCTTTTGTGGTGAAAATAGATTTGTCAGTTCAAAACATTTTCCTCTTTTAGCTTTCCACATACAGTACAGTACACTATTTACCTGTTCTACCGATAATATAGTTGAGGTTATTAAGTTTTAAAATGAGTCAGGTAATTTATGGACACCTAAACTGTTCTAAGCTTAAAGGTACATAGACTGACCAATGCCAAGTCATGTTGAAGATTTCATTTGATTTATATTCATATATTATGAACTTATGTCATGTAAAACTGTTGTAAAACTTTATTAAAAAATTATCATTTGTATTTACAGCACGGTCTCCAGTTTTTGCTGCAATGTTCGCACACGAGATGGAGGAACGGAAACACAATCGCGTGGAGATACAAGATGTCGACCACGAAGTCTTACGGGAGATGTTACGGTTCATATACACGGGAAAAGCGACTAATTTAGAAAAAATGGCGGACGATCTTTTAGCTGCAGCAGATAAAGTGAGTTGAGGGGTTTTGATTTTTTCCTCTTAATTTATCTAAATCAGAATTACCTCGTCCCAATTTAACCTAACGACTCTTCTTATCCTAACTTGGAGAAACAAAACACACGCCACATGCTGTAGAGCCGTGGTCATACAGAGACTGCCATAAAGGCCTTTGAACACTGTAACGAGGCAATGAGAAAAATCGTTAGGGGTTGGACGAGATAGTTTCAGTCCAGTACACAACCAATGCCTCATGAGCAATAATTTTTTTCATTAGCACTGCACAGTACTCTTAGTAACCCTTTAAGCGTATAATGTACAGTACTACACTTTTTCCCTATAAAGCTGTAAGGAATTCTACAGGGTGGCTGAGATTATGTCCTATTTGAAACTTGCTACGGTAATTTAAGGGGTAATGGTAGATATATTAATGGATAAAGTAGGGTAGAGGGATAATGGTAGAGGTATTTTTGGTTAAAAGTATGGGTATGGGGATAATAATAAGAGATGTTAATGGGTAAAATTGAGTCTTAGGAGGCCAGGGTAAGCTAGACACTGGGATGGATGCTAGACAATTCACTTTGTAGTTTTTCAATACTAATTTCAAAATTTTCTCACAAATTTCAGGTTTCTTTGCAGATTTTTGCTGTTAAAGCAATTATCTTTGTAGCTTTCATGAGTTTTAACATTTCTTAAAACTTTTTTAGCTGTTTTATATTAGTTTTAGCACTTTAGTACAAATTTGCATTTTTCATGTTAATATTAGGTTTTATTAGTTGTATTATCATTTACAAACTTATAACACGCATGAGGGGGGAGGTGGGTAAGTGGAAACAGCATTTGCCTCCTGGTTTATGGGTCACTGGTCTAATCCTGGGGTGCACTCTGTCCACCCAACTGTGAATGGGTATTACTCAAAGTTGGGGAAGTGAAGATTGAGTGCACAGTTTAATAACCTGCTTCCTTGCCCTACTGAAGATTTAATTTTACAGTTTGTTGGATTTACTCCTTTGGGACTCACTTTCAACATTCGCAAACAGATGCAGTGTGTATTTTTGTGTTTTATTTCCCTTTTAATGTTGTAAGCATCCCTAATGTTTATTTATTTATTATTTTTTTGTGCACTTCTCAGTATGCATTGGAGCGACTGAAAGTAATGTGCGAAGAAGCCTTGTGTACAAACCTCAGCACGGAGAATGCAGCAGACGTTCTCATACTCGCCGACCTCCATTCTGCAGATCAACTCAAAGCGCAAGCCATCGAGTTTATCAATACGTGAGTTCTGATTTTTGAGTCAGTGATCAAGTCTGGGGTGTAGGGCATGGTGATGGGTTGGTCTGATGTCTTTCATGCTATCTGGTTCTCCTCTAGATAGATAGATAGTTGGGTGGATAAATAGATATACTATACTGTATACTTAAGTCACATAAATAAAATAGATAGGTAGACACATAGATAGATGGACAGACAGATAGATAGATAGATGGATGGATGAATACATAGATAGATAAATGGATAAATAAATAACTATACACTAAAATAGATTAGATTAATAGACATTCAGTAAGATAGATATTTATATATTCAGTAAAATTGCCAGACAAGTATACACATAGACAGTGTAAATACAGTTGGGTCTCACATTACGCGGTTAATGTAACCCGGAGGGTACCGCGGAAAGTGAGGAACGCGTAAAGTGAACAACATAACATATGGGATTAATTGAAATGGAGTCCAGGCCGATCCCCAAACTCCACTTTTTGACGACACACAACTATGTTGTAGTAAAAATATTATCTTAACTTTATGATGGCATGCACACACAATTAATAATTAAGAGAAATATCAATAATATTAGGTTTTTTAACACTTACATTAGTAGAAAAGATGGCTGGGCAGAGGGCAGATTATTGGCCCTCACTGGTATCAATTGTATCACTATCCACCACAGAGGCTTGCAGGGCCTCTTTGTTAAACCCCTCAAAGTCCATATAAGTCCATATCCTCACTATAATTATCACTATCACTGACTTGGGCCGGTTGTGGTGGGTGGCGGGTAAAGAACTCGGTAATGTTTTGATGACTGGGCGACCTTGTGCGCACCATTTTCGCGCCTCTTACACAACATGGCGGGAGGTTTGGATCCAAAAATGGCGCGGCTTGCCAGCCGCTCTCCGCGTAATGGGGTTCACGACCGCGGAATGTGAGCATGTTAGGTTCTGGCAAGGCACCGCGTTAACGGTGAAACGCGGAATGCCGGACCGCGTAATGTGAGGATTGACTGTATAAAAATAATTAAAAAACATTGCAAACATTAAGGAGTTTAGTGATAGGCCAAGAGAGTTGTGAGAGATTTATATCTACTGGGCAGTGATGTCGTCAGCTTGAAGTTGTGAGGTGATGTCCCTGTTGGTCCCTGGCACTGTCTCTTGAGGTGTTTCATGGCATTAAGAAGTAACTATTTTTACCTTCGAATGATACTGTACATTGTCAGCTCAGTTCCCTTGCCAGTATGAGGGGATTGGTACACAGTCGTCTCGGTGTTTGACGATGGAATATTTACTTATGCTCTTAATTGTTTAAACAGGAGGTCATTAATGGTCTGTATATGTCCTCTATGCTTCAGATATCCTCTCACTAAAGTTTGTTTGAAGTATTCAGCAAAGATTATCTAATGGAGATCTGTGAAGCTATTTAAGACTTCTTTGTGTCAGCTACTTCATCTTAAGAATATCACAATGTTTGGTTTTATTTATTTATTTATTAATAATTTTCCACATTTCTCGTGTCAAAATTTTTAGCAGGATTAAAAGAAATATGTACAGTATAAACATTAACATTATGCATTGGGTATGCTATAACGAACGGATCCTACTACGAATAGTCCTATAACGAACGGTTTTACCTATAAAATTGAGAATGCTATAACGAACGAAACTCCTACAACGAACATTATTTAAAAAAAAAATTTTTTTTTTTTTACTAATTTTTTTTTTATTACAAGTATTAATGATACTCTTTATTTCAGGGGTTTAGATGCATATTTATGCTTTTTTTTTTTAATTTTTATAATTTTATATTATATTTTTCAGTGTTAAGTGGTTGTATTTGGGGGCCCTGGAATGGATTAATCCTATAACGAACGAATGCTATAACGAACAAGGTTCTAGAGCCAATTAGATTCGTTATAGCATACCCCACTGTGTTTTGTTAATTTCTCTGTTCATAACTATTGATGACAGATTGTTTTCAAGTGATAGTCATTTGTTTAAAAGGATTTTTTTTAGGAATGTGTTGTATAATAATGCCTCTAATATGTTGTGCTTCATTCTACAGACATGCCACAGATGTTATGGAAACTCAAGGATGGAAATCTATGATACAGTCACATCCACATCTTATTGCTGAAGCTTTTAGGGCATTGGCCACCCAGCAAATACCACCCATAGGGCCTCCACGCAAGAGGATAAAAGCCAGTCCTTGAGTCTGGCCGGTCAACCTCCCAGACTCCCAAGAGCAGGCTTGGCCATCACCCCCGGAACCCCTGGCCTCCTCACCCGGCCACACTCGCACACTTGGTCTGAAATTTTTTTACTGTAGATCAGCATTTGGAAGCAGTTTACTGCTGTAGCGAGTGAGCAGTGTGTAGGGTCGTGTGTTCCAGGCCACGAGAAGACAGTGTGTGACGGTAGGGCCTGGCAGGGGGGACCAGGCCTCTCACCCCACCAGTCAACAGAGTACAATCAGGGGACGACGAGTCCCTGCCCACTCAGGTCGGTAGGGCTGCAGTCCCTTCCTCTACTGCGCCCAGCTCCTTCTGCCCCGCGAAAAGTCCACCAAATGATCTCAATGGGGCCTGACCTGCACACACGACCCCTTTAAAGCCACAGACGGTCTCCAGTGTGCAGGTACCAGACTCGGCAGTGCATGTGTGTCTTTGTGTAGATATATCTGTGATGTAGCAAGTGACGGCCCAGAACATTGGACTCGCGCTCAAGAGTCCCGGACCTTCCACTCATTACTTTGCTAATTATTGTTGTTGTTGTTATGTGTGGCACTCTCTCGTCTTTCAAGCTAGCAAGCCAGGCTAATATTTGGAAAAAATAATACAGGCCCTTCAGGGAGGAAGAAAAAACAAAAACTTAAAAAAAAATTCAATAAAAACAGGAGCCTCGTGTTTTAGTGACACCAAAGTAGCACCTGTGAGGGTGTAGTGATGTGTGCATTACTCCTTCTGGGTCACTGTGCTGTTGGCTAGTTGAAGCATCCTACTCCGCTCTTATGGATGATTTTAATTCCTTAATATTTTTTATCGTATTTAACAGGAGGAACAATATGGATAACTTGAAAGCATCTTTTTCTATGAAAAATCATCTGCAATGTACAACTTTAAATTAGAATGAGCTTTCGTAGGTAGATGCAGTAGACAAAATGTACTCTTGATTCTGAGAAATTGTTAAGAGAAAGACAAGTACATAGTGTACAGTTACTGTAAAGGATACTGTCTGATTCCACCGATTTCAGCTCAGGCTGATTTATATTTACAATATATTGAAATACATCATTAAGCTTCACAGGGTATTCTCAGTCATTAACATGGAGCCTGTTCAAGAAGGTTATGACATACACCGTTCCAGGAAGTTCAGACGACTTATTAGAAAGTGAAATTCTCTATGAGTGTTTATACATTGTGATTGAAAAGGGAATCTAAAGTGGAAAAGTACCAGTGAAAATTTAAAGATCATTTGTAGGAAGATTTTGTAATTTCATGTTTTGTTGTGAGTCATGAGGATGTGTGAGCTCCTATGTTAATAATCTGTGAAGAGCAGGCAGTGAACAATATGTGCCATGCTGTACCTTATGAGAACAACCCACCCAGACCAGCTACAGCCTAAAACAATGTCTGTCACTTCACATATTTTCTGTTTTTCGAAAGTACCTGCGTAATTCAATGCATAAACTAATACTTGGAACTTTAAACGCGAAAGTCAACTTTGATTAAGTAAGCCACTATACAGTATATATATTTACTGTATACCAATCTTAGTCACTCCGAGTTAAGAATCCCGTTTGATTCGTCTGCCACCCTGTCATGTTACCCACCCACCCACATCATCATCATACATCAACACATTCATATCTTTAAACTTTAGTCAGGTGTACCTCTTACCACCAGGAGTCCAGAGCCTAGATTCAGAGTCTTGTACACTGAATTGTCGTCCTAACCAGAGATGAAAGAATGTACCTAACTAGCCAACTTGATTAACCCAATTGGAGGAAAAAAAAAACTACCAAAATGACTTAAAAATTACCTTCAAGACTGTACCTTGATGAAATACATTCGCTCAGCATCAGTTAAGGGATAATATCAGTGTACAGTCTTCATCAGTCTGGGCCCAGTGTTATGGTAACATAACACTGCTTCTCCTGGTTTGCTCATTCTGAGGTTTTCCTCTCCAAGACTAGTTGCTTTATGCTGAAGTTTTGTGGTCAACGTCATTGGTGTTGTCAACATAGCTGCGGTCTAGTGCAGCGTTTAGTTATTGGGCATCACTGGTGAGACAAGACCAATCAGGTTGACCGCTGAATTACAGCCGTAGTCACTCCACAATCATTCCTGTTGTAGTAAATCAAACTCTTAAACAAACTACAAGTTTGGTAACAATAGTCATGCAACAGTTCAAATATATGTTAATTTATGTATTTTCCAGTACAAAGTGAATGTCTTCTCATCTTCAGTTTCCTTTTACTCATCTCGATAACTTGTGGATTCAGAAACACATGGACGCAAGATACAGCATTTGTTGTATTATTATTTATCTGATAATTATTTAAACAAAAATCTTCTCTGAGAATTATAAAAAGTTACAGATTTGAAGTGATTAAATATTAATGCTTTTTATTGGGTCAAGGCAGTAAGTCATGTTTGCCCGAGGCTAGTTAATGGGAAGCCAGGTAGCTGGTTCCTGTTAGGGGTAGCTACTGTGTGTGTATGCACATTAGTTATCAGATCAGAAAACAGGTGTTAACAATAATAGAAAGATATTAGGAACCTTTATCATATTGGGTATCAGCTCTTCTCTTGTCTAAAACTAGTAAAAAAATGGTTTAACCTGGATAATGAAGGAATTGTTGATAAATATTGTTTTTTTCTATAAATGGCTTAATGTTCAACATCAGTATATTGGATTGGAATACTGTACTGTACATCTTATCTCTCGGGTGTACGGCACTGGCGACGACCTACTCGGCATGCATTACAAACATACCGTATATACTCGTGTATAGTTTGAGTTTTTAAGACCAAATTTTTAAGCAAAAAATTGGGGGTCGTCCTATACATGCGTAATAGTTTTGTTAGGTTGAACCCGTGCATGAATGGAAGGGCGAGGAGCAACTTTTAGCTTCAGACATGAAAAATATTTACCATTTACTGCGAGTAAACAATGGAAACGTAAAATATGTACCAATTAGTAATGAAAAGTTGTGCAGTTCCTTCAGCAAATGAAGCTCACCAACTTACAATAGGCTAAGTTACCTTACAACGTGCTTTCAGTAGTCTATGTTGAAGTTCTTAGCACAGGCTAACTTATCATATCATATATACAGTATCACAGTTCTTATTGATCTACAAAAAATACCGGTAATAAAAACCTTTTCGATATTTCACACTTAATATAATACCCGGTAATCTACTTCAACCTCCTATTGTTTACAACGACGCATGACACATCACGCACCACCAGCTGTTGAGTATCGGCTAGGCGGTACACGTGTTTTTCGAATCGTTTTCGGTTAAAAACTGTTACATCACATGTATATTTTACCTAAACTGCGCCTGAATGAATATATTCTCGGAACTAAATAGTAGTTTTGCTGAAACGTGATGTATTTTAATGTAAAATAGGATAAAATACATGATGAAAACAAAAGATTTTACCTAACCTTCCGATGATCTTGAGATGTTACTCGTTTTTTTAATAATTTTCGGTTAAAATTCTGTTATATTACAATGATATTCTATTCATACTGTGCTTGATATAATGCATTCACGGAAATGTAATATTTTTGATGAAATTACGTACGTATTACAGTGGAAAGTGGGATAAAATCGTGACGAAAACAATTACTTTTGCTTTCTTTCGTTCAAAAGATGTTACCGTAATCGCTTTTCAAATGGTTTAGTTAAAAAACTGTTGTATTACAATAATATTCCTTCCTAATTGACTTGAATAAATACTTGAATGGAATATACAATATTTTTGTTGAAACTACCCGCGTTTCAGTGTAAAGTGTCGTAATAATAAATGGTAAACAATTTGCCTTCGGCACTCGGTGTTTCAGGCACGGCGAGCCTCCGTTTAAAGGATGTAGAGCATTTTTACTGAAGGTTTTGTTGTTCTATTACCCTAAAAAATGTGGGTCGAACTATAAACGAGGAATATCATAAATTAACGATTTCTTGGTCAAAAAATCAGGGTCGACCTATAAATGAGGGGGTTTTATAGACGAATATATACGGTATTTATTTTAATAATTATTATATTTTTTCCAAACTATCGTTGTTATGTGTTATACAGTATATACAGTAGTTATAATATCTCCATTACGAAGTAATTTTGTGTAGTGCAGTGAGAAATTTTTTAAAGAATTTAATGTTTTTTTGCTTATTTTTTATTAAAATACAGTACAGTACTGTATACAGTACTTGTAGTTATATATTGTGGTTTTTAAACCTCTAGGAGGCAAAGATTCTTCTTAATCTAAATAAAATGGTCTGTTATTAACCGGTATAAAAACCTAAGTGAGACACTGCCCTTCACGGGATTAGAGTATTTTCTCATGATAATGAATAATAAGAATTACAGTACAGTATGTAACACCTGTACAGCCTTCAGTTCTTAAAATCCTCTCAGTTCACATGATATACAAAATACAAATGATGCAAAAGTGGATTTTTGGTTAAGGTTTAGTTTGTCATCAGACCGTGAGCACAAGTATTCTCGACGACTCGCCCGTGTATCATTGGAACGTGAGAGAGTAAATAATAAAATATTTTTTTACTTTCCACTAAGAAGACCAATTGCTTATGGTCTGAGGAAGTTAATATTCCTGATGAAACTGTTCTTGTCATTATCATATTTAGGCTGAGACAGTTGTGATGTGGAGAAGGATCGATGTTTATCTTAGAATAGAATGATAGTTGTCATTTGAACACTTTTTGTCAAGTCATCTGGACAAACATTGATGTCAAGAGAGAATTCTGTGAGCCATTTGGATGGTGCTGTTTACATTAACTGAAAAGACTTTTTAAGACTTATTTGTGTTTTTCATTTGTGTGTGAGAATGACTATTTGTTACCAAATTCCTGAACTTTAACCCCTTGTGTATGGGGCCCCCCACATAAAATCGCCAGGAGTTAGCCAAATAAAATACTGTATTAAAAGTGGCATTCCGGAGTGAAGGGGTTTAAGTTACCAGTGTAAAACATTAGTGTGTGGGAGAGAAAGGGGAATCAGTGGCCAAAGCACCTGGAAATGTTTAGTGTGGACATTCTCTGATCTAACCTAACCAGGCTTAAATGTCCGGGACCAAAAATAAACATTCATAATTACTGTATAGGTTAGATTTTTCAGGTTATGGTAACAATACTAAAATACAATCTGTTATCTGATAACTCAATTTCATATTTTGTAGTTTGTGATATTTTACTCATTGGGAGACATGATTTTGTACAGAGAATGTTGCGTGAAATTAATGTTGATAGTACAGTACTTTGGCACCATAAAGTACTGGTTTTTTATCACCCATGTACCATATCATTTAAGTTTTGGTGTTTATGGCAGGCGTGAAGTGTGGTACCGAGAGAGGAATTACCAGTATGAACCATAGCATTGTGATCACCTGTTTTCTGACCCCGTTATATGTGTACACCCCACTAATAGGAACTGACTACCTGCTCGGTTTATCATTAATTAACTTCACAATTACTACTCATCATAGTCCACACCCCACACTGGGGAACAAGTAATATGGAACATCAAAACGTATCCGTGAGTTATATAAAAGAGGTGGCACGACAGTTGGTGGAGGAGATATGTGGTGGCTGGTCTGGGCTGGCCCTCGGTGTGTCGGCGCCCGGGTATGACAGTAGTGTCTGCCGCCACACTGGTCTGTAGGTCATGTGATGGTGGGCTCTGTGAGTCTCTACCTCTGTACTCTTACACTGAAGAACTCCCATTGAACCAGTAAAGTTGGTTAATTAAAACTGAGATTTTGTTATCCCCAAGAAGTTGCAGACAGACATTCCCCAGGCCTCGATGTGGGTCAGTGACCTGTGTCCTGGTGGGCTAATCTCAAAAAAAAAAAAAAAATCCTCTCATCAAAACAAAAAGGAAAGAATGAAAGATAGTAGGAAGAAATAAAAATTGGAAAGAGAGTTTTTTATGGGCCCACTCCCCAACCCTAGCCCCT